TAGCAATCTGAATCTGCTGTTTTTTCTCCCTGCAAAGCAAGGAGAAAAAAACAGCCATATAGTCAAGTAAAAGCAGCATATATTACACACATTACACATTGTTAGGCACACAATTGACCCACTGATTGCCCCTAGATGTTAACACCTTTCCAGCCAGTGTCATTAGTACAGTGACAGTGTACAGTATTAGGGTTCATGTACACTGCAGCTCCTAAACTGACGTTCAGGAGCTGTAAAGCAGCCCCTGAACTGTCCCTAATGTTTTCCTATGTGTCCATGTACACATACAGATGAAACTCGAAAAATTAGAATTTCGAGCAAAAGTTCATTTATTTCAGTAATGCAACTTAAAAGGTGAAACTAGTATATGAGATAGACTCATTACATGCAAAGCAAGATAGTTCAAGCCGTGATTTGTCATATTTGTGATGATTATGGCTTACAGCTCATGAAAACCCCAAATCCACAATCTCAGAAAATTTGAATATTACATGCAATCAATAAAACAGGGATTGTACATAGAACAATATCGGACCTCTGAAAAGTATAAGCATGCATATGTACTCAGTACTTGGTTTGGGCCCCTTTTGCAGCAATTACTGCCTCAATGTGGCGTGGCACGGAAGCTATCAGCCTGTGGCACTGCTGAGGTGTTATGGAAGACCAGGATGCTTCAATAGCGGCCATCAGCTCTTCTGCATTGTTCGGTCTCAAGTCTCTCATCTTTCTCTTGGCAATTCCCCTTAGATTCTCTATGGAATTCAGGTCAGGTGAGTTTGCTGGCCAATCAAGCACAGTAATCCCACGGTCATTGAACCAGGTTTTGGTGCTTTTGGCAGTGTGAGCAGGTGCCAAGTCCTGCTGGAAAATGAAGTCCGCATCCCCATAAAGCTCGTCTGCGAAAGGAAGCATGAAGTGCTCCAAAATCTCTCCATTCTTCCTCCATACTCTGGGTCCTTGGTTTCTAAATTAGATGCAAAAGTTGCTCTCATCAGAAAAGAGGACTTTGGACCACTGAGCAACAGACCAGGTCTGTTTTTCTTTAGCCCAGGTAAGGCACTTCTGACATTTGTTGTTCAGGAGCAGCTTGACAAGAGGAATATGACATTTGAAGCCCATGTCCAGGATCCGTCTGTATGTGGTGGCTCTTGATGCACTGACTCCAGCCTCAGTCCACTCCTTGTGAAAGTCCCCAACACTTTTGAATGGCCTTTTCCTGACAATCCTCTCCAGGATGCTTGTGCACCTATTTCTTCCATATTTTTTCCTTTCACATAACTTTCTATTAATGTGCTTTGATACAGCACTTTGGGAACATCCAACTTCTTTTGCAATTACCTTTTGAGGCTTTCCCTCCTTATGGAGGGTGTCAATGATGGTTTTCTGCACAACTGTCAGGTTAGCAGTCTTTCCCATGATTGCGATTCCTACTGAACCAGACTGAGAGACCATTTAAAGGCTCAGGAACCCTTTGCAGATGTTATGGCTTAATTAGCCGATTAGAATGGGACACTTTGAGCCTAGAATATTGTACCTTTTCACAATATTCTCATTTTCTGAGATTGTGAATTTGGGGTTTTCATGAGCTGTAAGCCATAATCATCACAATTATGACAAATCACGGCTTAAACTATCTTTCTTTGTATGTAATGAGTCTCATATATTAGTTTCACCTTTTAAGTTGCATTACTGAAATAAATTTAACTTTTGCACAATATTCTAATTTTTTGAGTTTCACCTTTAGTCCTTTACAGGCAGTTAAGTTAACAGTCGTTTTTTTTAAACGCACCAAACTTGCGTTCAGGACTATATTTTACCAGCGTTCCAAACGCTTATAAACGCGTGTAAACACGGTTAACTGTGTTTATAAGCGTTTGCTTTTATAAGCGTTTTTTAACTGTTCCATGTCCAGATGCTGTCCAGAGCCTTTTTTCATCATCAGAATGCATGCAAAACGTTTTCCATGTATTCAAATGGACCTAGCACACCAGCGTGGTCAGTTCCAGGTTTTACGTGAAGGAAAAAGTGGTAGAACGTACCACATTATGCTCATGATGGGATCCATAGTGAATACAACCAGAAAAGACTGGTAATCTCAACACATACTGCTCTCTCTGCTTCTGCTCTCTTTATTCCTCTCAAAATGTCCTGAAATAGTTAATTTGTTACTATTTTTTTCAGTGCATTCTGGGCATTTGGGAGGGTCTCCTGAGGTTATCTTTTAAAAACACTTCTAAACGCAAACACACATAAACGCGGTATGCAAACTTGGCTAAACTGACGTTTTTTAACCTATGTTTTCCAGCAGTCAGCTTCCATTGTTCAGAAGAGTTTTCCAAATACCCCGTGTACATGAGCCCTTTGCATTGATCACTGTATTAATGTCATTATTGGTGTCAGTCAGTCAGTGTACTTCCCAGCCAGTATGTATGTATATATGTGTGTGTGTGTGTGTGTGTGTGTGTGTGTATATATATATATATATATATATATATATATATATATATATATATATATATATATATATACACATAATTATCTTAGTTTGTAGAAGCTATAACTTTCACAACAAATTGGTATACTCTTCTTATAGGAATTTTTATTTTACCAAGAACATTAGTAATACCTCATCTGGAATATGCAGTTCAGTTTTGGGCACCAATTCACAAAAAGAACATTGGGGAACTGGAGAAAGTACAGAGAAGGGCAACCAAACTGATAAGAGGCAAGGAACTGAAATTATTCTCTCTTGAGAAGAAGAGATTAAGGGGAGATATGATCACCATGTATAAATACATCAGTGGTTCATATAGTGGACTCGGTGTAGAGATATTCACCCTGAGGTCATCACAGAGGACAAGGGGGCACTCTTTATGTCTGGAGGAAAAAAAATTTAATCTCCAAACACGGAAAGGTTTCTTCACTGTGAGCTGTGAAAATGTGGAATAGACTCCCTCAAGAGTTGGTTCTGGCCAGCTTAGTGGATTTCTTTAAAAAAGGCCTGGATTATTTCTTGGATACACAGAATATAACTGGATAGTGACATTTATAGGTAAAGTTGATCCAGGGAATATCCGATTGCCTCTCGGGGGATCAGGAAGGAATTTTTTTTCCCAGCAGGTGCAAATTGGATCATACTTTGCTGGGGAGGGGGGGGTTGCCTTCCTCTGGATCAACAGTGGGTATAGGATTATAATATATTTTTTTTTTTTCTATGGTTGCACTGGATGGACTTTTGTCTTTTTTCAGCCAGACTAACTATGTAACTATGTAATATATTTTGGCCTAGATTTTAAAAAAAAGTGAAATTTTTTTATTAGATATGTTTCATAACAGAAAGTAGAAAATATTTTTTACCCAAAATTTTCGGTCTGTATTTGTTTATATAACAACATTTTTTTAAAAAATGTCCTGATCAAATACCACCAAAAGAAAGCTTTATTGATTTGAAAAAAAGATATAAATTTCATTTGTGTACAGTGTTGCATGATCGCACAATTGCCAGTTAAAGTGAATAGCCCTGGTCATGAAGTGGGTAAAACCTTCTGGAGGTCAAGTGGTTAGTCCATGCCCAATATTCAGCACAAGCTATCCACACATCTTTACTACAGAGCATGGCATGTCTTCCCTGTCCCTACGTGTCCCTCATTCTCGAGTTACAAATGGGAGGTATGCTACATGGACTTGGTCACCTAGGTGATACATTTACAAATCTGGTGAGAATTCTTTAATGGTACAGGTTATTTCTGTTTCATTTTCCAGAGGTAGGCTAGATAGGAGCTAAGGCCTCAGCATGCTTCAGAAGAAGCTTTACAGGAACTAACTACCAAAAACATGTGCTGCAAATCTTCAGGCAGAAGGTCTGTGACCTTTCACAGACTTCATTTATTAATGCTAGTGATTTTTAAAACATCTGTAGAGCATCTAACGCTTCAGTATAGTGATGGGCAAATATGAACATACGATTCATTAGATTTGTTACATTTAGGTGATGAGAAGAGACCTTTAAAATCATGGTGATGCTAGACTGAAATATTGAACTTTTGTCTTACTAGGTAAATATTTGTTACAATTGTGTGATCTTATTTAAAGTCAGAAATACTGTATTTCTGCACAGTAATACAGAAAACTTACATACGTAGCTACAGATAGTGGTTAAGTAAGGAAGGATGAAATAACTGGATAGTAAATTGGAAGATATGATATGTGCATGCTTTTTTTTCTTCAGATCTCTCATATCAGCCTCATCTGCTTACCTTGCAGATGTACACACTGTACTGCTAGGCCTGATGTCTATTAAGAAATAGCACTTTGCATAGACATTTTTATTGCTTAGTTTATTTTGTAATGAGAAAAATGAGTACTAAAAAGAGTAATTTGTAATCCTTTTATTAAAGATCAGAAAAATAAAATCTAAATTAATATTTATGCTGTCCAGATAAGCAATTGTGCTTTTATATATATATATTCATATACAGGCAAATGTTCATTATTTTGTATTTATAGTATATGTACAAGTTTAGACACCAAACCATTACTCAGCATTCCAATATTTATTGGGCTTTAAAAGCTGGAAGTCTTTAGCAGGCCATTTGCTGTTAAAGTTTTGGCTGATTATTGAGGAACCTGTCAAAATTCAATCAATGGGTAGCTCTTCCGTCTGAGATCCATTTGGCTTATGTCAAAGGAACCTGGTGGAAACATTTTGGTCAAAATATTGGTTGAATCCAATCAGGTGCAGCTATTGTTCAGGTATTTTTAAGCCTGCAGGTTGAATGACTGGTATGTGGCCATCTCTCTGGGGTATATGACCACGCAGAGGTTGTTTGCTTTCTTTATGGCTTGATATCACAGAGGGCAGACAGGGCTGTAGATGGCCTTGTAGAAAAGCCCATGCTATATACTTTGAAAAATGCCATTCTCCATTATCAAGTACTGATTACATTTTAGATTAGGCCTGTCTTGCCACTAGATGTAGGCAGGGGCGGACTGACAACTTATGGGGCCCCCGGGCAATAGAGGATCATGGGGCCCCTGTGTCCTTGCCCAAACTCAAAAAAGCCTATGAAAAAGGTACCAGGGGCATCTCATGGGGCCCTGTACTGACCCAGGGCCCTTGGGCAGTACCCAAGTTTCCAAATGGTCATTCCGCCCCTGGATGTAGGTTGCGGATTCTCATATTTTACAGGTTGCTTGCTAGTGTTCTTGGTCACCAGAAAACCAGTGTATATACCATTACATTGGCTCTGTTTTAAAGTGTTTTTGTTTTACCTACCCATCCCAATGCTCATAACCCATCTCTTGAACCTAAAGCTCGAAGAGCATCCAGACATGGGAAGGAGCTTTACTCTTAACAGGTGATCAGACATCCTCAAATGATTTGTGCACTACTAGACGTTGCCTGGATCTACCTGGTTAGGTTAACACATGGATTTTGTACCTGTTCAGTAAAGTCCAGGAGAGGACCGGGTTTAGGGGCAATGAGCATTTGCCCCCCAGACCTGTTTTATTAGGATATGTTACTATTCAGATATTGGCCAAAGATTGAGAACCCCAGTCACTGACACAGGCTGGGCATTATATAGCTACTGTTCCTGCGATCAATTTATATCCACTGTACTTGTGATCAATTTCTGACAGTCATAAGAGAATTACAAAGAAAGCTGATGAGGGAGAGTGTTAAAAGGCTTGTCACAATAAACCATGTATTTTAGGAATGTCCACCTTTCACAAAGCTCACTAGCCCAACAAACAATAGCCTACATAGTACCCTTTTAGCTTACAGAAGCCTGTCCCTTTCATTAAAGGACTAGCTGATTGTGTTTCCTTTGCAGGATATGGTTCCTAGTCCTCCCTTGGTAAAAACGTCTTTCACTTTTCTATGGAGAAAATGGAAATAATGGCTGTCGTGCGCTGTATCCTACATGTTGGAGAATATCTGCATGCGTCTGATGAATGGAAGTGCTTGCTACCAAACCTGTAAAGCTCACAATGCAAACTTTTTAATGGTTGTCTTTGCCAGGTTGTTCAAAGACCGTTTTAGTGCTTGCTTGGTGTTCCATTATGACACAGGTCTACGGATCTAAAAGTTATTACTTACTGCTTTACTAACAGCAATGAGTTACCATTTCGATTGTATTGTTCTGTGAGTTTATCTTGTTCTTGATTTTGCAAACAGTATGGAAAAGGGGAGATAAACAACTTGGAAAGTGGTAACTTTTTTTTTAGTTCTTTTGACATGATGGTGACAGAGACAGAAGTAGTATGAATGTCTACATGCAGACTTGAACTGAGATGGTTCCAGTGGCGAAGTTACAGGGGTCACAATTATGATCCGGGCCCATGCTGCACAGGGGCAGTGTGGCCATCCTGTACTCCTGGATAGAGGGAGCGGTGGGGATGGCATATAGAGGAATCAATCTCTGCATGTTCCTCCTGCAGCCACTCAATGCCAGTAGGAGGTAGAGGAGGAGAAGCCAGAATTCAGAGGCTGCAGGAGCAACATGGAGAGAAGTGTTCCTATATATGCAGCCACCCCTGCTGATCCTCCTATCCAGCTATTTTTCTGGATAAATATTTGATTTACCAGCCCCTTCCTTTTCTGAATGTCCCAATCACTGACTCTGTTCATTCATAACTGAAACATGGTAAACTATGTTTTCTATATTTCGGTTTGTGAATTGAGGGGAAGCTATGTACAGAGCTACTCCTGTTCATTCAGTGCAGCTAAGGGCTCATAAATCTAATTTTTCTGTCTCAAAGGTGGAACAACAGAGGTCTGTTTAGACACTTGATATTTCATCAAACCCCCAAAGTGGCTTATAATAAAATTTTGTAAAAACAAAAAAGGTGACAAAAATGAGAAAACTACTGACACCAGTAATGGAACTACCAGGATCACAACGTTTGCCACCAGGCTCAGAGGGAAGAGCCCCAGGAGTGGGTTAGGGGGACCCTTTATGATTTCTTGCACTGGGGCCCTGAAAGTTCTAGGTACGCCGCTGGCTGGATCCCATGCTGCGTTTGTACCTTTTTCTGTGAGTTTCCCTTGTCCTTGATTTTGGAAAAGGTATAACAAGGAGATAAACTATTTGATAATTGTTAAAGCACTGTTTTTTTTCATACTCTGTAGTGACAGACAGAAGTAATATGTAATACACAGAAGTAATACATGCAGGCTTACAATTTGTTTTGCTGATTTACAATGATTATGATACAGGACTGTATGTTGTGCTAATATGATATATATTGCTTCGTTACAATGCTGTTTGCTTTCAGGTGTTGCTTGGTATGTTTGAGTTTACTGACTGAGAGATGGCCGAAGAACACATAATGCATTTACCTGTCGCTTTAGATCTAGTTGATTGACCACCGGTTGTATACTGTATACTCTTTAATGAAAACCTAACAAGGCTTAACATTATTCGTGAATATTTGATTAATGTGCTGTCATATTAAAAACGTCAGGCCCAAGTGAAAGCAAACACATTAGTCCACAACAATAAACCATCTATTTCTTTTTTTTCTTTGGTTCATTGCAATAAAGTAGTGAAAGCTGATGCACTAGAGGTCAAAACCCAACTAAATGGCCTAGTGATCAATGAAAAACCTATGGCTATTTCAATGGATAAACATGAGAAATTCCTACAAATATGGTCTATGTGGATCATCTACTCACAACCTAATAAGAGAGTTCTAGGTTTATGATATAGAAAAGGAGGTTGGCTGGTCCTCGGGGATGAGGATTTCCCCTCTCTCCTCTCCAAGAATGCCCTTTTCCCACCCTTCCCTCCTTGTCTTCTATGGATCTATAGTTTTCCTATTACCCTCTGTCCCTTTTTCCTTTCCTTCTCGTCCTATAGATAATGCAGTTATAGTATATTATCACACTGAAGCTACCCAAATGTTTGGGCTATCGCTATTCCCATTTTACTAGTTTTGAAAAATGGTAACAAAATCAATAGTATATGTATAGCCTTCAAAATAAAATTACTGAACATTCTACTTAATGAATAAGCAGGGAAATACCATTAAAGTGATATTAAAGTCTCTTTTTTGTTTACCTAAAATGAAAAGAGAGGTTTATACTTACCTATTCTGTGAAACAGTATTGAACGTCCTCTATTGGGGTCCCCTGCCAGTGCTGTTTGCTCCTCCTTTTCTGTGTGCCCCCAAAGCTAGCTGTGCACTATGGGGACACACATGCGAGCACGTTTCCAAGCCAGGCTGTGTGCATCCATAGACACACAGCATGGCTCGGCCAAGCCCCGCTCCCTCCTTACTGGATTTCATTGATCGTAGCAGGATCCTATTGCACGCACTGCTATCAATCTGTGCTATGAGAGCAGTGAGAGAGAGACCAGTGCTGCTGCAGATGAGCACAGCGCTGGATCAATGTAGGACTCGGGTAATTATTTAGGGGGGAAGGAACAAACTGCTAATTCATTAAGATGAAAAGCTTTTTGATTTTAGAACTACTTTTAAAAAGCTTGAGAATTTTTTTGTTACTTCACAATTGATATTAGGACCCTTTATCGATACTGTACTCAAACTTAATTACATTACTTATTCTGTACTTAAACTTTAATATATTGAACATAGAAACAGTTTTACTAAATAGCAATTGAAATAAAGGTAAATAGCCCATTTTGCACCAGAATGAATGATAATCAAATGAACATAACACAAACTTGTCTTGAAATTAAATCTTTATCTACAGCCTTCATGTTTTCAGCCTCATTGGATCTCCTATGCAGGACAATGAATTACTATAGAAACAGCCTCACTAAAATAAAAGCTACAGACCTTACCAGGCTATACTTTGAAGAATCAATATGGAGAATGTACTTTTAGTTAATGATATACAGAAACCCTATCAAATCACATCTCATGCATGCTGTTGGCTGGTTATTTTGGCTTTTGACCAAGTGCCTATATACACATTGTTCCTAGGGAGTCTAGTTTGGAATCTCCCTAATTAATCATCGATGCGCATAGTGTGGGCTCTATATTTAACTATATTGTTTTATCGGGAATATTGAGTCATGAGTGCACATTAGGCTCCCTAAATAAACACAATTTTTGGCATTCATAAATATCACAAATACCAAGAACACAGGGAGTTCTAAAGCAGTTGATCTTGGTTACTACAGGAATCCTAGGGACTTGTGCACATGAGTGTTTAAACCAGTGAAGTTCCCAACACGGATGTACAATAACATGCTTGTAAAAGCCCTCATTCATTTCTCCGGGGAATGCAGACTATAGGGCACATAGGATACGTCAATGATACAGCCAATCGAAAGGCATTGGAAGACATGCCAATGCAAACTGTAGCTCCTGAGATTCGATGCTGTCCTGTTTGCGGCATATAGCATACACTTACCATGGAGATACTAATGTTCATCTAATCACCAGACATGCGTTGGGTGTTTAAATATCTTTTTATGCCTGTTTGTATAGCACAATAGCATGTAAATATATTAGGATTATTAAATACCTTCGCTTTTGAAGATTTCAAAATAGAGGGCATTTAAATCAATGTTCAAGATGCTGTTCTATTTTGAATATTCCTGAAGAAGCCCTGGGTGGGGCGAAATGCATGGAATACATTTCGGGTTCCGGTGATGTCACGCCAAGGCAGCATTTCAGGGTTAGGATTTTTATCATTGCCTAACACAATTTGTACCAAGTGTGTGCATTTATTACTTACGGTATTTGAGATTTTAATTAAAAAAAAATTATGCTGTGGCAGATCTCTCTGTACTTGATGTATATGGAGTAATTTAAGCTCTGGAAGGTGGTACCAGAGTGGAGATTGGATATAAAGAACTGGAAAAACTGGAGAACTATTAAACGGGATTATTTCCTTCCAAGCTGAAGTGGAGTGTCAAAAAGCTGTTTAAGACTCATATAATCATATGGTTATAGGGTCAAAATGCCTCTGGTGAGTGGGGAATCACTTTCAGGGGGACACGGAGCACGTGTGAAGTTGATGAAAAGAGGAAGTAGTAGATCTGCAAGACTTGCATTTGAAGCACGGCATATATGGATGTATGATTGTATAGCACTTTATAAAAATTGCACAATATATGGATTTATACTTTTGCATTTAGGTGTTAAGCGGAAGGAGATGGTCCACAAAGGACTCTAAGCTGGCCACATATTTTAGTTAAACATTTTTTGTGC